TACAAAATGCGTATCAAATAAAAGACTTGTATCTGGAATATATGAAGTCTCATTAACAAGGGATAAATTACTGACACATGACAACTATGGATGAATCTGGAAATAATTATGCTGAGTGAAAGAAGCCAGACTGAGAGAAGTACAAATGGTGTGATTCCGGTTATTTAAAGTCTGGAAATGCAAATCACGGATGTATGGTGACAGCAAGTGGGTGGTGGCTGCACTAGGGAGCAGCGGGGTCGGGAGCGAGGGGAGGGATTTGACAGGGACAGGAGGAGACTCGGGGGTGACGGCTGTGTTCATATCTTGACTGCAGCAGTGGGTTTGTGAGCACACACGCACACACACACACACACACACACACAACTTATCAAGTGGTCCACTTGATAATGGCCCACATGTGCTGTGTTTACTGTGAGCTGATGGAGAGCAGGGTTCTCTGGTTCTTCACCTTCCGAAGACCCAGCTTGTAGTCCGCTGGGCCATAATTCAGGCACTAAGGGAGCACTGAGGGATGACCCTGAGGGCAAAGAAACAAAGTTTGCAAACAACTCAGCCTAGCAAGTCCACAAATCAACTCAAGAGAAAAACTAGGGAAGAGAGAACCCAGTAGCTGATATGAAGTCACTGGGAGCCCCAAACATTCCAGAGAGAAAGTTATCAGCCCAGCTGAAGCCCTCCCATATTCATGCCGCCTGCTCACCCCAACAGACCGAGCCACTGTTCGACTGCAGGGTCCCAGAGTCTCCTCTGCACCGCCTCCCCTGCCGCACAGAGCTCCTGGGCAGCCTGCCACAGGGACCACGTCCACACCCACCCGGAGGAGCTACTGGCCCTAGAATCGTGGAAGGCAGCAGGGCATGGAGCCCAGGGGCACCCAGCTGCAGACCAGGTAGTCCCGAAGGGCTCTCTGCCTCCCCCTGCCCTAGCCCTGCGCCAGTCACCACCAACAAAAATGAAGTTAGTCCTGGGGGTGGTGGGTGGAGTTCAAAGTTACCTGCACCCCATATCATCCATGCTAGGCTCTGCAAAATTCTAACATGTGCTGGCATTTTCCACCTTGAGATGGGAAAGACCACACCCCACCCTAGGAAGGACTCATTCTGCCGGCCACCCTTCTCTAGAGGAGCACGCTCTGTGGTGTCACCTGCAACGTGCCAGCCGATGTTCTAAGATATAAGCTGAGGACACTCCACCCGAGCAACAGAAGGGCCAGCTTCCATGGACAGTGGCACAATGCAACCAACATCAGCCTGACCAGCAGCGGGCACTGAGCAGTTAGTGTAAAGTGGTAACAAACTGTCATGTACTACAAAGCAGTTATCACTTTTATATGAAGAAAAGTGCTTCTCATTTCTCTTTATTCTTTGGGATCTACAAACACCATCACGGCTCACGGCCGCCCTGCTGCCGCCCTCCTGCTGCCGCAGCCCTCTCTCTCCCTGCCGCCCACCGTCCCCTTCAGGACGTTCTGAGAGGTCACGCTGTGGCACATATGCTGCGGCCTCACGAGGTGGCTCCACCCCAGGTATCCTGGGTGCTGAGAAACTGCGTCTCTAGCAGCCAGGGCCAGCCACACCCACACTCTGGTCCCTGCACCCAGCTCTCCCCGCACTCTCCACGCTGCCTGGTCTGCCCACTTTCCGTGCTCTTCGCGCCTGTCTCCCTCCTCTAGAATGGAAGGCCCAGCAGGACAGGGAGCTGGTCTGTTCTGTTTACGCATGCGCCCCAACCACTCAGCAGGATCCCTGGCATGTGCGTCAGGCTCGGGCTCAGCCAGGTGTGTGCTGAGGCCGCCCGCTGAGATGGCAGGAGGCGGCCAGTCCTGGCAGCAGAGCACTCACCTCGGAGCAGCACAGTGGGCACCGTGCCCCACAGCTCCCTAGAAAGCTTCCCTGTTGCTGCTGGTTTTAGATGGGGCTTCTTTAGATCACTTGGCCAGCTTCCTGGTTTTCAACTGCGGTTTTCAGGTAGCACTGTTAATACTGTGTTCTATCATAGTCTTCCCTCACCCCTTCCCTGCTCTGGAGCTCACTTCTAATTAGATCAACCAAACGTTAAAGCTGGAAGAAATGGAAAAGACTTCACTTATATTTTTAGTTTGGAACTAAGATTATGCTTTGGGGACTTTTTCGTCCCCTTTCCCACGGGACAGATGCTACTACTAACGAAGCTCCTCTGTTAGCCTCCCTTGACCCCCAGCAGAAGCACTTGCATGAGGCTGTGGATTCGGAGAAAGGCCCAGCCGTGGGCTGACAGAACACAGGACCAGGGCGCGGTGCAGCCAGAGCACCCAGCACCTTCTCCAGCACTGGCTCCTGTCACCCCTAGGAGCCCGATCCCCGATCTGAGAACCGAGGCTTTAAACAAAATCATGGAGCCAGGAGGAATGGAATCAAACCAATCCAAACGTCCCGTTCTCCCACCCTCCTTCCCGTACCAGCAGCAACGTGTCTGCTCAGAAAGACACACCAGGTCCGCATGGAGGCTCACACCTGGAATCCCGGCACTCTGGGAGGCCGAGGCAGGAAGATCGCTTGCGCTCAGGAGTTCAAGGCCAGCCTGAGCAAGAGCGAGACCCTATCTCTACTAAAAGTACTAAAAAAATTAGCCGGGCATGGTGGCGCATGCCTGTAGTCCCAGCTACTAGGGAGGCTGAGGCAGGAGGATTGCTTGAGCCCAGGAGTCTGAAGTTGCTGTGAGCAAGGCTGACGCCACGGCACTCTAGCCCAGTGATACAGCGAGACTGTGTCTCAAAAAACAAAAAAAAAAAAGAAAGAAAGAGGCATCAGTCTCTGCCTTGGCAAAGAGGCAGACAACCGGGTGAAGCGCTAGGCCATCTCTGTAGCAGCTTGCTGTGCTTGGGTGGGGGATGGGGGTGAAAAGAGAGGCGTTAACTGACAACAGAATGGTTAAAGTGCTGGGAACACCAAAAAACAGAAAAACAGGCAGGTCTAGGTCCTTCTGCTGACTGCACGAATCTGTGATCAGCTGCCCTTACCTAGGCAAAAGAGCCTGTCATTAATTCAGCCAGGGCCCAGCGAGACTCACGCCCTTCAGAGCAAACCTGGGCCTGTGCCCGGCTCAGAGTCCCTCGGAGCCCTCCACACCGCTGCTGGCACCCTCGGCGAGCAGGGCAGAGGAGCACCGGGGTCTTGCGCTTGGTCAAGGGACGAGACCATGAGTGGTGGCGTAAGGGTTAAATAAGAGACCGCGACTGGTCCGAAGGGCCCCTGAGTTCTCTTCTGTCCTCCCAATCTTGTCCTAATTGCATGTGGGATGGCAGGGCCTCGCCAGGGGGAAGAGGCCACAGCAACCACCGTGCTGCCTCCACCTCCCACACACACAACCACGTGCAAAGCCCAGGGCGGCAGGCGCTCTTCCCTCCCTGGGCCTGCCTTCCAACACAGACTGAGCCAGCACGCGCCCCGCTGCGCACCTGCGTTGCCAGACGGACCCTCCCCCAGCACTCCTGTCACTGCTCCCCGAACACCCGTTCTCCAGCCAGCAGCTCTGCATTGGACCTTAGGCCTCCAAAGCCCTTTCCCCCACCCCCATCCCTGCTAATTCCCAGGCCAAGCTTTACCCAATTCCAAAGAGGCTTGGGAAAAGCTGCTCACCTTCTAATCCCTTTGCCATGTGAGGGGCTAAGCTGGCTTCCAGGTTCCAGACACAGAGTCATAGCACCTGGCCCAGTGCTACAGACCCCTGCTTGTGCCCTGGGCCGGCCCCACTCTTCACCAATTCTGCAGAGGAAGAGCACTCAGGCTTGAATTCCTGAGCAAGCACGCAGAGGGCCGAGGGCAAGGCAAGAAGGGGAAGACCTCCCCCTCCCCTCACAGCATGGACCGAGCAAAGTCCTGTGATTCCAGGCCACTAGCCAGAAATTCCTAGGAAGAAAGAACGTTCCCATCCCTCCGGACCAACACACGTTAACCTCCAAGCCCAGGGCCATTCCTGATTGCCACAGACCTGGGAACAAGACTCTATGGGCCCAGAGCAGCTCCTTGTGTCCCCATTCCTCCACTCCGTGCCGGTGCCTTCTCTCCCAAATCACTGTGAGACTCAAGCCTGATGCCTTCGGAGGCTTCTTGTCCCCTGCAATCCTGGGCCTGTGAAATGGCCTTTCCCCTCAACATTCCCCTGCAGACACCCCCTGCAGGCCATGTTCCAGTCCAGGCTACAGCCTCATCACAAAGCCAGGCCCGGGAGCCCCAACCCTCATAAGCTTCACCCACCAGCAAGGAGGTGCTCTTCATCCCCTGGTCCACGGAGCCTCCAGGGCTCCCCATGGGGACGTGGAATTCCCTGAACGTGGGTTGGTGGTTGCAAAATTACTGCCGTGCCATGGGTATATAGCAAAGTTACCCAGGGGGCTGGAATTCAGGGGCATGAACTCAATGATGACCTGGTAAAGAGCTAAAGTGAATGCTCCGCCCACAGCACACACACACGTGTGCAAATGTGTAGTGGGAAATTTTTAAGGGAAGAGCCACTGGTGTAAAGGGGGGTTGGGTATTGGACGGTGTAGGGAACGTCAGGGCGCAGTAGAGAAGGGCAAAGACGCAGGCCAAGGCTGAGGAATCTTAAGACCACAGGATGGTTTGTTATTAACATCTTCACCAACATAGCTGCTATTTATTACGTACTTTACACACATTGTCTCTGATCCCTACAACAACCTTGAGAGGTAGGCATTATTATATCAACTGACATGAGCAGCAACTGAAGCTCTGAGAGAGAATTAGCAGAGCCAGAATCCAGACTCTGACGCACCAGGCTCCAAGGTGCCATGTGTTTACGGCGCCATACTATAAAAGAACCAGCCCCAGGAAAGTCGCTGATCTATCTAGGACTCAGTCTCCTGCAGTGTCCTTAGCGACTTTAAGTCCTTCTAACTGCAGCATCCTGTGTCTACAAGACTCCCTGAGGGACAGGAAGGACAGGAGATGGAAGCATCCTCCTTCCAGGGGTAGGTGGGGTGGCGCAGCAGCTCTCACCTCCCCCGTTTTTGTAGCAGAGATAGGGAAACCTCCAGACGTTGCCCAGCCCGATGATCTCCCCGGCCACTGACAGCACAAACTCCATCTTGTTGTTCCAGTGTCCCCGCTCCAAGCTTCCATCTTCCTCCGCCTTTTCCGCGACTGGACACGCAGGCTTTGTCTCTCCATTGCTGGCTGCGCCTGGGACTCTGCTGTCCATTCCACCTGGAAAGCCAGCGGGCGCTCGGTGACTACTGGGAAGCCCGAAAGGAAAGCCTCCCCCTCCCTTCGCCAGCACTCCCAGGGACCAGTGCCCTGGAAGAGGGTGAATTCCTCCTCCCTTCTCGGCGGACAGGCCCTCCTTAGCCTCTCTGACGGGCAGAGGCTGGGCAACGGCTACTGAGAGCAAATGTCCCTTTCCCATGTCAGGGAGAAAGTGTTGACGTCAAAGCACAGACTTGCTTCCAGCACGCAGGTTCTCCCGCCGGGGCCTGTGGACACTGAAGCGCTCGCCTGGCCCCAGTGCCGGGCAGGTTCTCCTGCCACCCTTGCCTTGCCTGCAAGCCCGGTGCTGTTTCTCCACGTCAGTGCTGGGGGCCACTAGGAGAATGGGGCTTTACAGACCCTCAAAGCACCACTTGCCCTTGCAGGAATTTACTCAAAGGACACAATTGTGACTGTGAGTAGAAGACTTGGCATTAAGGATGTTTATTGCTTATCACAGCAAAAATTAGAAAGCACACAAACGTCCAAACATGGTAGATAGGTTAATAAATTACGGCACATTCCTACAATAGACTACTGTATAATCATTAAAAACTATGTTGCGGAAAAAAGGATATTGAAACAAAAGGATGTTCATAATATATGAAGCAAAAACCATACATAGGATATGATCATGCCTCACAGATATTTTATAAAGTATTTATATGCACTGAAAGATTAGGATATCCACCAAAATATTTCTCTTTCAATGGTTGGATTATAGGAATATTTTACTTACCTATATTTTCTACATTTTTATCAAAGAACATGTTTTATTTTTGTAATATAAAAATAGACACCAGTTTTTTGGTGTGGGGCTGTCCTGAGCATTGTAAAAAGCCAGTTTTTAAAACAGCCTGTCAGAGGAATGAGAGCAGCCAGGCGGGCCCAGAGCCCGCGAGCAGACGAGGCCATCTGTCCAGGGCTCCCTCCACTCTCTCTGACATCAGCATAAAAGGAAAACCAACCGTGGGTTCTTTTTCTTTTTGGTGAGGACAAATGCAGATGTCTGTCCCAGTGGAGAAGACAACACAGACGAAACGAGCCGCGTGCAGACCTGCCTGTAGGGCATGGCCTGCGCCAACCGCCACGGGCAGGAGGGTGAGCCCAGCCGCGCTCACGCCGGGCACTGCTGTGACGAGGCCGTCCTCGCGGCCGCTGTGTGAGCGCCAGTCTTGCCTCCACTGTGCAAACAAGGAGGCTGCAGCTCGGAGAGGTTGAACAAGGTGGCTCTGCCCCTGCTCTTTCAGCTCCACCCGCTCCATCACATTGGCCACCTAGCTTCATCAGCAAGTCGAGTCTAAGCATCTTCTAGCGGCTCACCTCATTTTATACGGCAGCCCCTTTTCTGGAGAAGTGGGCGGTGGACTTTTCTCTGGGCCTCAAGCCAAGTTCATGCTAACAGAACTTTCTCAGTGGGAGCCAGGCTCCTTTGGCTCTGCCTCCCCACTTGGGCTACCCGAGGGATCCAGGAAGTTAGAAAGTCAGGGGACAGTAGGCATCCTTGCTTATTTGATAAATTAGGGAATGGGCTCCAAAGATTGTCTGTGGGTTACAAAGGAGAAACTCAAGCCATTGGTCCCAAGCGGGCTCCTCGGTCCTTTAGAGAAGGCTGTCTAAGACAGGTGCTAGCTCTGGGCCTCACCTTGCATTGGACGGGCATCTCCGACTGGTGGAAAGCCACCCTCACCCCTTCACTCCCAGACCTAAAGGAAGCAGCAGCCCTCTACTTGACCCCTGAGCCCCGCTGTAGCTGTGGAGGTAGCATGTTGCAGTTGAAAGGACAAGAGCTATAGACTCAGACAAGCCTGTGTTTTCTCTCGTACCACTGCCTGATTTCAGGGAAGTTCATGAATGACTCCGAGCCTTGGTGTGCTTGTCTATAAAAGTGAGGATGAGGCTGGGCGCGGTGGCTCACACCTGTAATCCTAGCACTCTGGGAGGCCCAGGCGGGCGGACTGCTCAAGGTCAGGAGTTCGAAACCAGCCTGAGCAAGAGCGAGACCCCGTCTCTACTATAAATAGAAAGAAATTAATTGGCCAACTAATATATATAGAAAAAATTAGCCGGGCATGGTGGCACATGCCTGTAGTCCCAGCTACTTGGAAGGCTGAGGCAGGAGGATCGCTTGAGCCCAGGAGTTTGAGGTTGCTGTGAGCTAGGCTGACGCCATGGCACTCACTCTAGCCTGGACAACAAAGCGAGACTCTGTCTCAAAAAAAAAAAAAAAAAGTGGGGATGATAGGACATACTTGGCCATAAAGGCTGAATGAGGACCACAGACGCACACGCACACACACTTGGTGGAATAACAGGCACTCAGATTTTTACTTTCAATCTTGTCAAAGAATGATCATCTCATTTCACGAAGAAAGTCTTCATTTTCCTAGAATCAAGCCCAAATGTCTTTCCTCTCAATCTAGGGTTCTCTTTTTCCAAATTGCACTTATCCCTTAAGTCAACACCTTCCCAAGTTTCAGAAAGTGAAGAAAATAGCATACAGTCTTTGCATATGCACGCATACATGTCAGAAACGTATTTTCTGGGAGAGGATCAAAAGTCCCTGGTTGTAAGTGGATCCCGCCAACCTGCAGTGTGAGACTCAGAACCAGAGAAAAAGAGAAGAAAGCATTCCGAACCTTTCTGAAGTTGCTGCCAGAGGTCCAGTCAGGGGAGAAGAATTATCTAAGGGGGCGGGGAAGGTGCTGGCTATTTAAAGTGTGGCTGAAGAACGCCTCTGTGGCACTTGTAATTCTAAACTTGGCCCAGCCCACATTCCACCCTCCTGCTTTCCCTCCTCTGTTCTCCCCTCCCTTGTCCTCCCCTCGCTACCGCCTGGGAGGGCCCACACAGGAGTGATTTCATGGCCGCGGTGTGTGCATGCCCTGCAGGTCTGGCCAGTTGCTGGTGAGTTTATCAACAGCAGGCTGTCTTCCCTGCAGCTCACATGGCTTCCTTCTTGGTGACCTAGGGTCTCTCTACAGGGATCCTGCCTTCCACTCCTTTCTCCAATGCAAGTGTTCCTGCAGATCCATCCAGTAGGTGCTGCTTAGATTCATTTAAAAGCACATTTATCTTACCCTTTTGCAGTTTACAATCTGGAATAATCAATGATTTAGAACAAAGATACATGGATTACAGAATTCCAAGAAGTCAGAAAAACTTCCTAAACATACATACATGCACACACTTATATACATATAGAAAAAGTCTGGAAAAATCTGAATGGTTAATAGTAGTTACATTTGGAGAGTAGGATTGGGATCAGGAGATGGCACTCATGGAGATTTTTCACTTTTACCCTTTAAACTTCAATATTGTTTGAATTTTTAAACGATAAGCTATAATTTTTTTAAATAATTTTTTAAACCAAGAGGGAAAAGGAAGTTTCAAGGCTTAAAACAAAGCAAAGCCCCAAACTGCCGTGCGTGCAGGAGTCGGTGGCGAGTGGGCGGCAGAGACCAGCGGGGTCCCAGCAGCTGTGGAGTGTGGAGTCACTCACTCGCTGCTGCCCGCGAGGGCACAGCCGGGCAGTCCCAGCCCAGCCACCTGCTGGCCTGCAGTGCAGTGGCGAGTCCTGCGTCCACTGCTTTCTAGCCTGGGGTCTGGAGCAAAGTAGTTACCACAGCAAGCCCTGAAATGGTAGTGTCATTTACACTTTGCTGGCAGTGAGCAGGGAAGTCTTCCTGAAGGGCGTGGGATTGAGCTAGGCAGAGAGAGGCTGGGCTGGGCGGACGGTGAGAACGGGTTACCCGGTGGTAGGGAGGACGGCTGAATGAGGTCATGGCAGCGTGGAAATGTGCCTGACAGGACAGAGAGGAGAGCAAAGGAAGGAAAGCAGAGATTCTAGGGTGGATTCTATTTCTTTGATCCTTATCCACCTCTAGAGCATGAAGCAGGGAAGTTGATCCCTTGGGAGCTCCCTACGCAGCTTCCTAGAGACTATTATCCTTACGGCTGCCCCTTTTCCTCTCCCCTCTGCGCCATCCGTCTGTTAGACTTCCCTGCGGAAAGCAAGAGACCTGCATGGTCCCCTGAGACAGGCTGCAAACTCCTGCAAAAAGCCCATCTTCAAAGCGAAGCTATCGGCTTCCATTTTTACTTATGGTTGAGTGACACTGACTAATGGCCTGACTGAGCCACTGAGCACTGTAAATTCTGGCATTTGGGATCTAAAATTACCAGATACCTGGAGTTGACTTGGGGCTCAAATTCAGTATTCCGAGAAGCAGATACCAGGCAGCCTTTGGCACCGTGGCACAGCCCCTCGGAGCCTCACACAGCCCAGCGGCAGGCGTTCTCAGATTTCAGGAAAGACTCTCAGTGAGCAGAACATCGTCAGGCCCACCTGGAGTTGGTCTTGAGCTGCCGTTCTTGTATTGAGGTACGCTTGGTTTTACTTGTTCATCCCTTTGTTTTTATATAACTGCTGCCATATCATCATTTTGATTGCTATGTTAATCCTCTCCAAATCTTTGCTATCTTCAATCTCTTTCTCACTATAAAGTGGGAATGGATACAGTAGATCTTTTGACCTGCTTGGGTTGACCAAAGTAAAAAAGGAAAAACAGTGTGAGACCCACTGGCAGACAAGTGTTGGTGGCAGCCCCTGCAGCTCCCTGCCTGGGGTCCAGGTAGGCAGGGCAGCCCTGCTTCTACCTCATGTTGCCATCATCCTCTGGTCTCCTGGGTGCAAGGTCAAATAACCTGAAAACAGGTACTACTAGAATCAGTATGCACCAGTTCTTACTCAAGAGGCTGCATAAGTTTTAAGACTCACTAGAGACTGTCAGTGAGGATGACCAAAGGCTGTCTTCTCAAAATAGGGTCGTGTGAAACAGAGTGAATTGTAGAAAAAGCAGGCCTAGAGCGTCTTGGCTTGTATCAGACTGGTCCTGGGCGTATTTAAATGCCAATATGCCATAATATACACTCCAAACCATTTTTTGTCTCTACTAGGAGTAGAACAAGAACAAATAAATTTTAAAAGAAACATGATTTGTTTCAGAAAGAGCATTGCTGGGCAACATCAATTTCTACACCAGGATGGTGGTGAAGGAAGTGGGGGGTTCTTCTCCTCTGGAGATCTTTAAATTAAGAAGTGTATTTCTGTTTACCCACAGGGTCAGAACTACGCTGACTTTGCAAATATACCACTGAAAGAAAAGAAAGGAGCAAGCAGAATAAACTGAAAAAATTCTGGCTTGCTGGAACTGAACAATTGAAACAACAAAATGAATAATGATAGTATTGGATTATAGCCCAAAGAACAAAACTCACTCATGAGTTCATGCTAAAATAAATAAATAATCAATTAAATTAATAAACTGGGGAGAAAGGACAGTTCTCCCTTACGGTGGAATTATAGTTCACAAAGGAAAGAAATAGAAAAGCACCATCAGACAAACACACTGTAATAATTGTTGCAGACAGATCTACTAAGGAACGCTAAAATTAGTATGTAGAACTAATTTCTAGTTTGAGGAGGAACAGGATTTACATAGTCTCAAAGAATCTCCCCGAGATACTTATTAACTACAAAGGAAAAGATAATACCTTTGGAGTAGAGAAACCAGGCAGAAAACACCTTAACCATGTAACCAAGGTCAGTATCACCAGTAATAAGATATTACCAGGTTTAAGACATCTCAATATCCATTATCAGGAACTATGTGGTTTGATGTGCTAATACTAAGAAGATCACAACATTTCTGTGGTATTCTTGCCAAAAATACAGTTCAATCACAAGAAAACATGAGACCAACCTAAACTAAAAGGCATTCAACAAAATAAGTGATCACCACTCTTCAAAATTGTCAAAGTCATGAAAGACAGGAAAGATTGAGGAACTGATTTAAGCTGGGGGAGACAAAGAAAAAATCATGACTCAATGCAATGTGGAGTCCTGGATAGGGTCCTAGATAGGGTCCTGGCATAAAAAGAGACATTAATATAAAAAACTGGTAAAATCTGAATAAGGCCTTTAGTTTAATAGTACTCTACCAGCATTAATTTCCTAGTTCTAACAATTATACTGTGGTTATATAAGATGTCAACATTAGGGAAGCTGGCTGAAACATACACCGAAACTCCCTGTACTATTAAACTTTTCTGTAAGTCTAAAATTAGCTGGAAATTAGGTGGTTTGCTGTTTTTCTTTTTAAGATTAGGGCTTACTTGCTGGGCGTTGTAGTCCAAGTACTTGTCCTGCTGTGAAAAGTTCTGGGATGTTACATGCAGAAACCAGCGGTGCCACTGAAAACTTTGGGGACTTTTCTCTTGTGTTTGACTGCAGATAGGATAATTAGCCCCAATTCTACAAGCCCAAGGCCTTAAAGAAGCAAAACTTATGACAAAAAAAATTAATAACATCAATCATCACCATTACTAACGATTTTCGAGCACTTCCAATGTGCCAGGAACTGTGCACCATCCCATTTCATCCTCAGAACCAAGCTGCAACACAGGAACTACTGTGACCGTCCTCCAGGTGGAAAAGCAGAGGCTGAGAGAGAGTGAAATCAGGCGCGAGGTCGTATGATGTCTCTGGTAAATGGGAGAGCCAGGATTTGAACTCACGTTTGTAGAATTCTACGGTCCACTATTTCTAACTAACATGCTACACTTTAACTCTTGGGGAGGGGCAAGAGAAAGGCTATAAAGCACAGCTCTTGAACTGTGTTTATTTTGGCTATTACTGGCCCATGGGATTAAACGTTATTTTCTTAGGAAAGAAATGAATAATGAAAATGACAAGAAAAATGTGGCTTTTTAAATTAGATTTTAATTAGAGTGTCGTTGGATCTTTAAGAAAAAAAAATAAAAAAATAAATTAGATTTTAAGACTAATTAGAAGGCTCTCTTTCCTATCCCAGTGTGTTCTATAATCCTCCCGTGCTACTCTGCCCTCATATCAAAGGAAGAAAAATCATACCTTTTCTCTAACTCCAGAAAAGTAGTTGTAGTTATTTTCCAGTGGTATCCAGTTTTTTCCAATCCCTGTTCACCTGATTTCCTGTCTGATTCCCAGAGCATGAGAGAGTTTGCAACATTTATATAACCGGTCCCGCAGCGAGCGCCCAGCTGCACAGGCTGGCGGCGGGGTGCTGAGTGAAGGATGCGCCAGCCCCGGCGCTGTGGGCTGTGCTGAGGGATTAGGGCAGAGTGACAACATTTAAAAAGAGCAACTTCAATCATTTGGACGGTCTTTTCTCCTAAATATTTTCAAAACTGCCGCAGGACCTTCTCTGTGAGGAGCAAGACGACGTGCTGCTGCACTGACGCTGGCGTGGCTGGCGTGGGTGTGAGGCTGGCGGGGCCTCATCCCTCACTGCTGGTGACTCTCCCACTCCGGGAAGCGAGAGGGCTCCCAGAGGGAACATGACTGTCTAGCTCTCACCTGTCCTGTTCTCCCCGAACAAGAACAAGAGACAGGGCCCACCGAAACAAGCCCAGCCTGCTGCTCGCGGCTGCAAAGGGGAACGCACAGGGCGGAAGCCGCGGCGTCTCTGCGCGAGGGTGTGAGCGAGGCCTTGTCGTGGGATGAATCGGTGCTCGGTGACTGGAAGGGGGTTCAGGAAGCAGGGCTTTGCTCCAGATTGGGCTGGATGCTGTTAGGAAGCAGGGATAATTTTATGATTGGGTTTCTTAATGGATTTTATCTAGAAGGCAGGAAGAATGGAGCGCAGCTACAAACGGCGACTGTGAGACGTCACTTGCATTAGCCAGCCTAAGGGGATGTTGGACCGTCACTGTGGTTTGGACAGTGTCCGTGTTTCTATCTCTGTTCAGACATAATCACAGAGCAGTCTTGTCTCACGCCGACGTTCAGCAGCAGCACACCAGGCCACCTGTGTCCACCTAATTGACAGTGTCGGTCCAATCTCTGGCTGTCAGAGGCCACTTTCCTATTTCTCAGCCGTAATAGCCACACACGCTCAGAGAAGAGAGCTGAGACAGTGGAAGGCGTGACTCCAGGGGCAGGAAGGAACCCACACCAATTCCCAGGGCCACTGGCTCTCACCTCCTCCTTCCCATCATCCAGGCTGAAGCCACTCCACCTCGGGTGCTGAGCTGCCGTGCCGACTCCTGATCAACCCAGTTCCAGAATGCCTCTGAGATTTCCACTTTATGTGTTATTCCTGTGTAGGAACATGTGTTATATTCGAGATTCACAAGGCTGCAGGACAGAGAGACAGAGTCACTGAGGCTGTAATTATCAAAAGGAGTTTTATTGTCTAGCTCCAGCTAGGTCCGAGCCCCCAGAGTGCCAGCGCAGTGGCCTCTTCTTCGGGCAGGGACCCTCCTTTGTGTGCTAGTGTCCTTTTATAACTAAATTGTTTACCCACTGAGCATGCATCCACCCCCATAGTGATTCTTACTTCATCCTGCCCCTGATAGGCTCCCACCAGTTCCGGGTCCTAGCTGAGAGACTCCGGTTTCCACGTTCTTTGTCTTTTTCTTCTGCATCCCATAATGTACTCATAATGCCTTGAGGTTAGCAAACAAGCAGTAAACAGAAGCTAGAAGGTGTCCATTGTCCTTATAGCCCAGTACCTTACACGTGGACTTACTGTAAGTCCTGCCCTTAGGTCAAAACAAGCTGGATGTTATCCACAAATTACCGGCTATGCCATACACAGCATTCTTATCTTTTCCGGGAAGGTTCCCTATAGAGCACATATGCCTTTCCTATAGTATATAAGCCCTCCGTCTGGGGGCAACAGTGCAGAGACCTAACTGTTGTGTGGCTGCCCAAGACACGCTCCTGTCCTTGTGTTCCCCAGTAAGTCACCCTCCACCAGCAAAGTGGGCATTGGCCTCATTCTTTGCTTTCTCAGTTTCTTCCACTTTTTTGGGTGGCTTTGTATATATGGCTCTTTAGGAAACAACTATATTCTCCATCCTTCACACTAAGCCCTCTTCCAACCTTCCTCACTCTTGTGGTATCTTACCCCTGCTTCCTCTGTTAAAAAAGATATGGTTTTTTTCTAGCATAGTGTGACATCATTGGGCAATTTTGCTCCCAATTCTTCCATAAGATTACAATTCTAATTTAATTTTGAGTCAAAAATTAAACAGCATTGACGGGGCGACTGCAGGAACCTTGTTTCCACAGGCCTCGCATCAACTGGGAGCACCCGACCTCCGCATCTCTGTCTCTCCTGCTCCAGCAAGCACCTGCTTTATTAAGGGTTTTGCAGCATCGCAGCCCTCCCACCCTCCCGGCTCCCTTCTCCCCTCTGACCTTCTCTCCAGTCACTCTTTTTCTCAAGGGCCCAGAAGATGTCCTCTTTGATCCTGTGTCACCAGGTGTGCTCTCCTTTGTTCACTCCCTTTTCAAATTCTGTTTCCTAAGACCCATCTTGAACCCCACACTTCCCAAGAAGTTATCACTAGTGACTCAGCTGTCCTCCGTGCTCACCGAGGGCTGCCGCAGCCTGCACCCCTCACCCAGCAGGCAGCCCCCGGCGTTGTCCTCCAATGGGTTCCAGTGCAGGCGTCTGGGAACTCCTTCAGGGGAAAAAGCTCTGTTTTCTCTATTCCCAAGGAATACAATGGGCTGCACACTAGCAGGTGCTTAATGCATATCTGCCAACTGGCCAGCGTCAGTGCCAGTGCCAGGCTTCCACGCCAGGCCAGCACGCAAGTGTGCACACGAGGGACGGAGGGAGCTGGAGTGCGTGCGCTCTTCTTCCCAGGTGTGCAGCTCACGTTTTCAAGACAAAGTCAAGCCTGTCAGAATCTCAGTGCCTCTCACAGAGTGGATGTCAGTGGGAGGAACAGCTCGCCCAGGAAACTAGGAGTATGTGATCCTGCCCTAGGAAGTGATTCCAGCACCGATAGTGGTCGGAAATGCCTGTAAAGCCATATAAATTTATATATAGCTATGTATCTATCTTGCTTTATATATATGTGTTACAGATACTTTACATATAAATTTGTTGTCTTGGCCCCACCTAAGATTTTGATTTAGTATCCCTGGGGGGGCCAGATGGCTAGTTATACGTTTGAAAGCTCCAAGGGTGATCCTGATGCAGTCGGGGCTGAGAACCACCACAGCTGAAGAAGCATCGGAGCTGCCTCTAACGAGACTCTGCCCTGACCACCCCGAGAAGCTAAGAGTCTCCATCTACTCAGACCATTTCCAAGTAGCAAGATGCACAGCCCACCCAGGCCCCCAAATCACATAGCACTCAGCAAGACTGTGCATCCCTGCTCTCAGCCCAGCAGTTCTTGATCTTGGCTACCCACTGAAATCACCCGGGAAACATTAAAGGAATTACTGATGCTTGGCTCTCCACCCTGAATATCCTAACTTAATTGTTCTGGGGTGCAGCTTGAACATTAAGATTTTTTTTAAAAGCTCCCTCGATGTCTCTCGAGGGCAGTTAAATTTGAAAACCTCTAGCCTAAATCCTCTTGCTGCTGGTAACGCATTCTATCCTCAGGGAAGATGCACTACATCTGGTCTCACGTTTCCAACTCTTTTTCTAAGCCACCCTCAGCCTATGCTTCTCCAAGACAAATAATCCCAAAGCCTTTTATCTTTCCTAAGAGCTCTTCCTTCTCTCCCCACCCACTGTTTTCGTTGCCCCTGGAAGGGCGCCAGGCTCAACATCCCAGGCGAGCTGTGAGTCCCAGGCCTGCTTGGCCGCTGGTGCCGCCGCCTGCTGACTGGCAGCGGCGTGTCTGCCCCAGGACGCTCCGCATGGCCGCCGAGTCCTCGGTCTCCACCAGTCACGAAGCCCGTGACTGAGAGGCCTCCACCCACACAGCCCTAGGCAGAGAGGCAGAAGCCGCAGGGAGGCCCGGCAGCCTGCTGTTGGCACAGGGCGGCTTTACAAGAGTCCTGCAAGGCGGCCAATGGAGAGGCTAAAAAAGTTGAGAATGAGAATAAATTTCAGTGTGATGAAAAAAATGTATGACTTGAGAGGCAGAACTCCAAAATTCTAATCTTGGATATGACCCCAATCAGCCACAGAACCTGGACGCCCCATTTCACCTCTCTTGACCTCGGGTTTTCATGTGCAAAATAAGAGGATGAGAGCAGGTCACCGCTGGGTTCCGCCTCCGTTCCCCAGCCCCTCACAGGCTCTGGCCAAGAAAGGAGGCAGCTGGCCCATGCCATCACTCCCCGTGCACGGTCCGCCCAAGGTCCTTTCTAGAGCAACTCTAGTCACGCCCAGAGCCTCACCCTGCCGACGCCGACAGCCAGCGACCGCGGCGGAGACCCTGCGCCACTGGGCCGGCGCCTCCTGAAGGCAGCACTGCGCAGCCCCTGAGCACAGGCCGCAGCCGGGCCTCGGCTCACGCAGCGGACATCTGAAACATGTATGTGTGTCAAAGATATTTTCCTTAATCTCCAAGAATTATAGTTCTAAACAATAATACCAGAAAATCAATATTCACCATTCATCAACAATCACACCTACCTACACTCAGCACCACATAAAGTCCTCAGTATTAGCTAGCAGTCACGGCTCTGTTCTAGCACTTTCACGTCCGTTCTCTCATTTGGTCTTTACTGACAATGCAGAAAGATTGGCATAATCCCTATTTTAGGTAAGAAAATGAGCCTCACACGGAGGAAAAGCAAAGTGCCCAAGACTCCAGGGCTACTAAGCAACACACCTAAGGCTGGAATTCAGGTCTCCCCTCGATCCCTCTTCCTCACCCAGCACAGGCAGACTTACCTTGAAGTTTTAAAAGCTTAAAGCCTAGGTGTGGTGGTGCAGTGGCTAGTGCCTGTCATCCCAGCTCTCTGGGAGGCTGAGGCGGGTGGATCATTTGAGCTCAGGAGTTCAAAACCAGCCTGAGCAAGAGAAAGACCCCGTCTCTACTAAAAATAGAAAAATTAGCCAGGCATGGTGGCGCGTGCCTGTAGTTCCAGCTACTCAGGAGGCTGAGGCAGGAGGATCGCTTGAGCCCAGGAGTCTGAGGTTGCCGTGAGCTAGGCTGACACCACAGCACTCACTCAGGCAACAGAGCGAGACTCTGTCTCAAAAAAAAAAAAGCTTAAGTTTCAGGGCCCCTCTTTTACATGTGTGCCTTCCAACCCCTGTGCCTAATCTTGAATTCTTAATTTTATGCTACTTTTCATAAAGAGGGCCCCCTACAATTGTCTAAGCTTCAGGACCTAAAAACCTAGATCCACCCCTAAACTCAGCTTCCCAAGTTAACATAAACGCTAGCATCTTACTTAGTAATTTCAGTCTAAGGGGTTTGTTTTGTTTTGTTTTGTTTTGAGACAGAGTCTTGCTCTGTCACCCAGGCTAGAGTGCAGTGGCATCATAGCTCATAGCAACCTCACACTCCTGACCTCAAGTGATCCTCCTGCCTGAGCCTCCCAGAGTGCTGGGATTATAGGAGTGAGCCACTGAGACTGGCTGGAGGGTACCTCTTTTTTGTTTTTTTTATTTTTTTGGAGACAGAGTCTTGCTCTGTTGCCTGTTGTCGTGGCGTCAGCCTAGCTCACAGCAACTTCAAACTCCTGGGCTCAAGCGATCCTCCTGCCTCAGCCTCCCGAGTAGCTGGGTCTACAGTCATGTGCCACCATGCCGTGGTAATTGTTTCTATATATTTTTAGTTGGCCAATTAATTTCTTTCTATTTTTAGTAGAGATAGGGTCTCGCTCTTGCTCAGGCTGGTTTTGAACTCCTGAGCGCAAATGATCCACCGGCCTCGGCCTCCCAGAGAGCTAGGATCACAGGCGTGAGCCACCGCGCCCGGCCTGGAGGGTACTTTTTAAACATGAATTTGAGAGGAATCCTTCCTTGCTTTCTGCTCTGGGGACCTATGCTGGCACTTTATAGAAATAACAGAGTATCAGCTGGGTGTGGAGGCTCATTCCTGTTGTACCAGCTACTCAGGATTCAGCTACTCTGAATCCTCTGAGGTGGGAGGATTACTTGAGATCAGGAGTTTGAGACCAGCCTGGGTAATACAGTGAGACTCTCATCTCTAAAAACAATTTTTTAAAATAGAGTATGTTTTCACCTTGAGCCATGTAAACA